AAGACATTTTCAAAGCTAAAGATCATAAAGACAAGGTTAAGAAAATTGCAGTCTCGGAAGAATTTGAATCATACATGTTGCTATCCATTGAAAAGGAATTGTTAGATGAATTGGATGCAGAAGCAATTATTAGCAGATTTGAACAATCATCTAGTGAACACAAACAATTGCTCTTAACATAGAGGACTTCACACAATGCTCAATTCTGCTTTTGAACTATCTGTTAATGTGTAAATTGTGCAGTAAACTATTTAGAAATATCAAACAATTAAACTTAGAAAAAAATAAATAAATAGAAAATTCAATTATAATGTTCTGTATTTATATTTGGTATCTACGGCCAGTAATGTGTACAATACATGTATACTGTAATTACCAAGAAATATACATTTTTCCAGAAAAATTTAATTGCAACCGTTTTTCCATATGTATTTTTTTTAATTTTATTTATTCATTATGAAAATTAAATAACATTGTAGTTGTAGATGGGCACCCTTTATCTCCTATTTTTGGTTGAACTTTATAGCTTTTCTTCCTTCCCATAATTCATCTCTTTCCCTGGTCTACTGCAATATATCTTTCTATAAAAGAAATCACTTGTTACAGCTTCTTCTTCTTCCCTACCACAAGGTATGTGACATTCCATTTTCTCTTCTTTTTTCAAACTACAGAACCTAATGATCCTGAAAATTTCACACAACATAGTCTCACACCCATGTCAGCACTTTGCATTATAGCTGCCATTGTTCTGGGCTCCCAAAGTCTTTTGCTGACCAAGAGACTTGCAGTTGGTATCATTTGATAGAGGTCTATATTTTCTACACCAGTGACACAGATACGTTATCAGGGAAACCTGTCACAAAATCTAGTTTCATCATCTGATCCAGTCCTCTCACTAGATATCTCGTGAGCCCTGTCATCCTTTTGATATTATTGGTGTAGAAATCCACTAATTTCGCAGTTCATTTCACTCTCTTGGGCTTTTCATAAGCTTTAAAGGGCCCTTCAGTAAATGCTTTCATCAGTCTAGTCTCTATCATGTCCTTGTCCAACTGGTCCTCGTCACTCATTTCAAGGTTGAGAGCAAGTGCATCTTCTTGCAGAAAAAATGGAAGAAAACTAGCAAGGTCTGGCACTTTTTGAAGCTTGGTGACCAATTTCGCCTTCTTTATCCATATGACTATATCACCTCCACTAAACAGTGGTATCACATCTATATCCTATTTTACCATTCTAAACTCCATATTGCTGAAATAGCTTGTGATTCAAATTCTTTAAATAAAAAATTAAAAAAAAAACTGTCCCAGGATCTCTGTTGTCTTTCCTTACTCTCAAATCTTTTTCTTCCTCTCTGAAACTCTTTTCTTATGAAACGAGCAAAATACCCCAACTCCTATTTTTCAATCGAGCTTTATAGTTTTTTTTTTCTTCCTTATAATTTCTCTCTTTCCCCAGTCTGACACAATATCCTTCTATAAAAGAAATCGCCTGCCGCTGTTTCCTATTCTCCTCTACCATGATTCCATTTTCTCTTCTTCCTTCGTTCAAACTACAGAATAACCAGTTGAAGTTATCACTAAACAATAAACAATTGCATTTTCATTTAGTTAAGAAAAGTAAAAGCATTTCTGCATTTTCTAACTGAATCTGTTGAACACTTAAGAGATGTTAACCTCCAGGAGAGTGAATCTGTGCATCTTCTTAGGCTACCATTTTCTGCTAACATGAAATGGAAAGATTATATTGAATTAATTGCTAGGTCTACTGCTAGGGAGCTTCCTTTGATGTGTCGTATGAGATAAGTTTTCTCACCAGAATCACATTTATAAGTGTAACATTCATCCATGCATTGAATATTGCTGCAACATCTAGCCTGCTGCTTTTGCTATATATTTAGAGATTCTTGATAAAATCCAAATAAGAATCTGCAATATTATTGGTCCTGACCTTTGCACCTCAGCATCAGTCACTTTTTCATCACCATAACAAAGTTTTGCTGTGCCTTTCCTGTAAATATCTTCAGGATAATTGTTCTGATGGGTTTTCCTCTTTGGTACCTAGACTTTACGAATGTAAGCTTACTACTAGATTAGCAGCAAGATCTCATCATTTTGCAGTTTAAATGGATGTAACTCTAAGTTCTGTGCCCACAGTTTTTTTTCTTTTCTCATGTCTCACTTGTGGAAATTTCTTCCAGCTTCTTGTTTTCCAGTGAAAAATTTAAATGCAGTGTCAATTATTATCTTCTGTCTTCGTAATTTCTATTTTTTATTGTTTTCCCTCCTTGATTGTGTTTTCATTTTTTTTCTCATATTCTCTCACACACAGTTATCCCTTGCATCTTAGTGGCTTTATTGCCTTGCTTGGGGTGAAATGATGAAAAAAAAATTGAGAGTTAAATTTTACTTTTTGGTTCCTATTTTAGATACAATAATGATCAAGGTAAAAGACTGGATTTAATTAGTCACTGACAAAAATGCATATAACTCTATCCCAGTCAAATTTTGATCTTCAAAAATTTAAATTTAAGTGTCAATCACTATCTTCTGTCTTCTTAATTCCTGTTCTTTTTTGTTCTTTCTCCTTAATAATGTTTTCTTTTTCTCATTTTCTCTCACACTCAGGAACCCTTTACATCTTAGTGGCTTTATTACCTTGCCTGGGGTGAAATGATTCAATAATGAAAATGGAATAGTTTTGTCAATCTTTTAGAAGTTTACAAAAAGCCATGCCAGTCAATAGACTTAGTTGAAAAATGCTTCTGAACTGAACAATAAGATACAAATATACAGTTGAATTGACCAATAAAGCATAGACAATTGCATTTTCATTAAGCAAAAGTTTGTCTACATTTTTCAACTCAGTCCTGTACATGATGATAAACTACATTTGGCAGCAAGGAGATTGGAGGTTTTCAGGAGTGTAGAACCATCTCTTAATTGCTGTTGTTCACCAGTCCACCCTGACCTGGGGTGGTAACACTTGTTAGGGTCCCAGCAAATAGTGAACCCCCAAACAAACAAACAAAAAAAAAAAAAAAAAAAAAACACTTTGAAAGTATAAAAGTACTAGTGACATATTTTTATATAAAAAAAAAAAAGATTACCACCAATACCTATTAGTAAAATGACCAACAATACATTTTATTTGTAGTTGATGGCATACAATTGCATTCAAAATATAAACCATAAAATTGTGTTCAAAATATTTAGATTTCAGCCTTAAATAACATGTGGAGGTTGATATACTGGGAAACAAAATCAATCAAACATTTTCCAACTGAATCTATTGAACACTTAAGAGAATAAAAAATTTTGATATAAAATCAGAAGCAAATTTTCATGCTGTGAATATTATAGTTGTAAAATTAAAATTATTTACTTAACATACACAACTTCTTTTGGTGTCACTTTCATTAATGTGTAGTATGTTCACTTCACAGCAACTGGTAATCTTGTTCCCCAACAATCACTTCCTTTACAAGTTGTTTATCCTCTTGGCATTTTCCGGGTAATTTTAAGTTTGCCATTGCTGCCTATTGATTGAGACTAAATTTTTTTTTTTCCTGGTTTGTGTTCCCACATTAGTGATTGCAAATGCAGAGTTAGGAAAATTGAAGTTTATTCCATTCCTGAGGACAACTAAATTAACAAATTGAGTTCAAAGGGCATTTGTCAGTGTCCCACTCTGAAATATTAATGATCTCAAAAGTCACTTGTATGCACATCAACAACTCCAACTGAACCAAATTTGGGTTTGGACATTTTTAGATGCATAATCTCTCATAAAAACTCTTTAAGCTACTCTTAGGAGCCAAATAGAAGTTAAATGAGTTTTTTTTTTCTTTTATTTTTTTTTTAATTCTTTTTTTAAACTTTCTGAACCCATCCCAAGCTTATTAACCACCGTTTTTATTAATTTCATACTTTTTGACATTTTAAATAATTTTTTGATCCTCCCTTTTATTTAGACACCCTGTTGAAAAATGTTGTCCCACCCTGATTATTTAAACTACTTTGTGATTTTCTAATCTTTCCTTTATTAACCCCTCTGTTTATTGTAGTGATTTTCCAAGCATAGCTTAGATGTGGCACAAGGCCGAAAGTAGGGGGTACCCAGTGAGGGTCAAACTCACTACTCAGTTGTAATTGTTCTAGCGAGACAAGCTTGCTAACCATTACACCGCCTCGAGGTGCTCCCCTCTGTTTATTGTATATTGATTGAAATTCCACCTTCCCTAATTATTAAAAACTTTCCTTGTATTTTTTGTTGTTGATCCACCCCTTTCATTAAGACTCCCAGTTTAGTGCATATTTAGAAAAATTCTACTCACTCCTGATTATTAAGACCCTAAGTGTATTTTGTGATTTTCTGATCCACCCCCGTTTATTGAGGAAAATTCTGACTTCTAATTTTTTTTTTTTTTTCAATGATGTTCACACCATACAAGGCCTGAGGGCCATGAAGTAGAGGGTTACAGCGTAAGAGCTACAGCCTAAGTAGATATGTGGGCAAGATAGCAGTTAATCCTAGACTGGCACAGGTTAAGATTGTAGCAACCTCAAGACAGTAGTTCGTGAGAACTTACATCACACCAGGAGGATATGAAAGGAATGAGGGTGGTTCACTACAATGGGTGTGGTATGGTGGGTCTTAACTGTGATGGTTAGGATTGGTGGAAATAAGGAGTGTAGTTCATCTGAATACTTTCTATGGAAATAGCAATAGATTAGCGAGAGGCTTGCGATGTTTCATCTATGAGAAAGTGGTTGTAGGGTAGAAAACAATTTGTTATTCACAAGGACGCTATTGAACTCTGTTGATAGTTGAAAGTAAAAACTGGGCAGCTTCTGCCCATATAAGGCAACAGCACTCCATTTTCATCTGAATTTTGCTCTTGTAAAAGTATAGGATAGCAGGAGAAGTCAGATTGATTGATTCATTTTATATGGCTTAACAATTCCAATTCATTATCTTTTTACACCACCTGCACTTTCAAGCTTACAGCACCTGGTATTCCCAAGCAGTCACTCATCTAGGTCCTGACTAGGCTTAATGTTGCTTAACTTGAGTAATCATATGGGAACTGGTATTTCAACATGATGTGGCCATAAGCCAGGAGGAGTCAGGTACTTACTGGAGTGGTACAGGGAATCAACTATTTTTTTAGCATTGTTAGTAATGGATTGTATGTACAAGTTCCACTTGATGTTTGGGCTGAGTTTATCCCAATATCAAGATATGAGGCCTCCTTGAGGGAACATTTGTTCATCTAATTGATGATGGAATGTCTCTAGTTTGGTTTTCGAGGCATTGAATATGACTAGCCAATTTTCCCCCAACTGTGCTCTTAGAGCTAAGTCAGAGGAGAGATCAGCTGCCAGGCTCTGGTCATCTAGAGCTTTAGAGGTGTGTCCATATACTATTGTATCATTAGCATAGATAGTGGTCAGAGTATAGGCAGATCATTTATGTAAAGTAGGAAGAGGATTGGACTGAGAAAGGAACCTTGGGGACTCTGAGAACTTGCTGATAATAACTAACTTCAAGCACCTACCCATTAGGAAGGATTTTATAACTGAGAAAACTCTTCCAGTGATTCCATAGCTAGAGATCTTGTGCAGTAACCCTTTATGCCACACCTTGTCAAAGGTCTTTGAAATATCGAATGTGATTATCCTTGAGATGTAGGTTATCAAATACCTGAATAAGGATCTTTTCTATTAATTCCCCTTGAAATAATGTAAAGTTACTTATCTCAAATATTAATTCACCCCAAGAAATTATAAATTTTAAACAAAAATTTGTTTAGCTTGTGTTATGGAGTAAATAACACAAATGAACTAGGCAAGAAGCCTTAAATAAAGAACTCAAAGTGAGTCAATGGAGTTAGTTGAGGAGAATTTCTAATGATGTCATGGTGAGTAGCCTAAACAATACATATTATAGCCACTAAGAGCAAGTTATAACAGTGGTGATGAAGGATTAAAACTCATACGGAGTAGGAAAAACTAATTTTTGCTTTGGCATATATGATAACAGTGATGATGGGAAAATAGAATCACATTGGTTTAATTTTTTTCTTTGGTGTGTGTAACAGAAGAAAAAAAAACAGATATTCTTTAAATATGGAAGAATTATTAGCCCAAGTTGTAAAAATACATCAACAGCAAAAACAACAGTTGTTGGAACTCCAAAAACAAGAAGAAAGTTTAATTGAAATAATATAGAAGAAAACGGAAAATTCTCCAAGTTCTTTCAGTCCCAATGCAGTAGTAAATGGCATATCTAAATACACATACAATTCAGATGATGGAATTTCATTTTCTGCTTATTTTAGAAGATACAAGTAAATTTTCAGAGATGAATGCAGCAACTGGGAAGACAAGAAAAAGCAAGATTTTTGTTGAGAAAGCTAGCATCAGTAGAACATGAAAAATGGAGAAATTTTCTTTGAAGAAACATAAATATTCTGACTAAAGTTTTTAGTGAAAAAAGTTTATTTAATACTCATTGGAAGTGTATGAATCTGATGAAAAAAGAAGACAAAGATTTTGTCGCATATCCTGGAATCATTAACAAGGAGTGTGGAAGATTCAAATTAAATGGACTTACTCCAAAGATGTTTAAAGGGTTAATGGTGAAAAAATACTGAAATATCTACTAGAATTCTAACAAAACATGAACAGAATAAAAGACTAACACTATCGTATATTGGACAAATGTCAGAGAATCCTAATATGGAAAAAGAAAAGAATGTGTATATATATATATATATACATACACACATACATACATGCTAAAGAAAAATGTGGAAAAAGAAAAACTAATCCATTCTTCAGATATAGAAGGTTACATCTTGGAGATGACTGTCCCTTTAAGAATTCAAAGTGCTACAAGTGTGGAAAAGTAGGATATACAAAGTAATACTGTAAAACTGAAGCAAGGAAAAGTGCTCACAGAAAAGATTTCCTACAAAGCATTGCAACAGTAAAAATAATCACAGAAAACCAAAGAAAATTTGTGTATGTGAAAATTAATAATGTGGATATAAAAATGCAGCTAGTGACTAGTAATAATATCACTATAATTAATGAAGACACATGGAAAGCAAATGGAAAACCTACATTAAAAAGAATTTCGAAAATCTTAATGGCATATCGAGTAAGAAATTGTTTTATTGGTAAAATGATTTGTAACATTTCTTAACAAGTGCTTATGTGTTAAAAAATGCTGCCAATTTATTTAGTACTGACTGGATGGAATTATTTGAGTTGTGGGATTTACCTATAAATATTTATTGCAAAAATGTAAGTGGACAAGCTACAAATTTAAAAAAAACAGTGTGAAAATTTAAAGGAAGAATTGAAAAAATGTTTTCCAGATGTTCCATCATTGGGTTGGTGTTCCAAATTCAATGTGAAATTTCAAGTGAAAAAAGAGTTACCAGTGTTTAAACAAAAACGTACTGTACTGTTCACAGCATTGGATCAATGAAGAATCAGACAGACTTGAAAAAATAGGTGTAATTGAAAAAATTGACTGTTTAAAATTGGCAGCATTAGCAGTGAATGTAAATAAAAAAAAAAAAATAATTAAATTTTTGTTTTTACTGATTTTTTTTGATCAGGTTAAACAAATGTTTAGTATCCTATAACTACCTATTATCAAGACCAGAGGAAATTTTTGCGAATTTAAATGGTGGAAAATTTTTTTCAAAAGTGGATCTTTCTGAAGTGTATTTACAAATACAGGTTGAAATACAAAGAACTGAAATTTCTGAGAATAATTCTGAAGATATGACAATTACCAACATGTTTTGTCAATCCAACTTTATCAAGGCAAGTTTAAAAGTGAAATATTTTTTAGTTACTTTAAATTCAAAATATTAAAAAGGGAACATTTCACTTTTAAACTTGCCATGATAAAATCATATTGATGAAACTCATTGGCAATGACTAAGAAATATATTTTCCATTTGACTTTTTTTATTCACAAGGAATTGTATAAGTTCAACTGACTACTTCCTTTTGGAATAATAGTGGATTCAGCTATATTTCAACAAGCTATGGATATTATACTTGCAGGTTGTGATTTTGCTGTTGCTTATCTGGATGATATATTAATTAAAAGTGTATCTAAAGAACAGCATATCAGGCATGTAAAGAGGGTTTATGAAAATACAGATTTAAACTCAGTGAGGAAAAGTGCAAATTGTTTTTGCCTAAAATCAAGTACATATGACAAATCATTGACAAAAATGGTTGTCAACCAGATCTGTTGAGGGCAAGTGCAATTAAGAATATGCCTCTTCCAACAAATGTTACAAGCATTTTCACAACTAGCAAACTATTATCAAATCTATATACCTAATATGCAGAATTTGAGAGCTTCACTGAACAATTTGCTTAGAAAAGGAATAAAGTGGAACTGGATTGATAAGTATCAGAAGGTATTTGAAGAAATCAAGAAAATACTGTCAGACTTATCATTAGTGCACTATGATCCAAAAGCAGAAATTGTATTGGCTTCAGATGCTAGTGACTATGGTATAGGTGTGGTAATTCTACAAAAATATGATGACAGTAACATGAAAGTCATTCACATATTTTATGTTTGTTACTACTGGCAGAAAAAAAAACTACAGCTATATTGAAAAAGAAGCATTAGCAACAATATTTTCAGTGGAAAACTTTCAAAAATTATACACAAAAGGAGTTTGTTTACAAATGGCCCATCATCCCCTAATATCAGTTTATGGTTTGAAAAAAAAGAATTTCGATGGATTCAGCAAATTGGTTACAATACTTATCAAATTACAATTTCAAAATGGAATACCAACTGCCCCAAAAATTAGAACATGCTGATTATTTATCAAAATTGATACCAAAAAATACTGAACCATTTGAGGAGACTGTTATTGAAGCATTAAAAAGTGAAATAAAAATTAAAAATATAATATGCAAACTACCAGTTACCCTGGAAGAAATAAAAGTAAAAACAGAACAAGACATATTTATTTCAAAAATAAAAAATGACTAAAAGAAAGTAAGAAAGACTATTTTTAGAATGCAATCCAGACTTGAACACTTACTGACAGTGTACTGATGTTTGCACAAAGTGAATAGCCTAAGCTAAACATAATATTATAACTGCTGGGAATGAGTTATAACAGTTTGCCTCACAACAACTCCAACCCCCAGAATAAAAAAAAATTACCAAAAGTCAGTGTAATTCACATTTCGTAAGTGCTGATTATATATCAAGGTACTTACAATGAATATTTTACAATTTAAAAAAAAGGAAAAAAAACAATCTTGTTTTCATTTGTTTATTGGGGTGCGCATGAATGTAGACTCCACACTTAGAAATAGCACACCCAAGTTGGCCACATTTGGGGTGATTGCAAAGGCCAACCCAATGGGAGTGTAATGGAAAGGCCTCACTTTGGGAGAATTTGGTGTAAATTTTAGTAAATATAAATTCTTTTTATTTTGGAGTGAATTAAAATTTTGGGGTGAATTAACAGAAAAGATCCCCTCACTAATTCTGTGAGTAATTGCAGTTAAGATATTAAGTATAAATGTATTAGGCACTAGAAGATATGATTATCTTATTACTGTTTTGGTGGGAAGAAAGTCTTATGCTAATCTTTCATCTATATCTATAAAACAGATGTCTGTGTTATTTATGCACATCCACATTTTTTGACTGATTTCAATGACATTGTACACACATATTGTAAATTTACCAATATAGGTCAAGACCAACTTTTCAATCTTCAGGCCTCCCATGTTTGGCAGAAAAATTAATAAAACTGAAGATGGGTATGACTTTTTGCTAAAACCGAGGCAAAGTTACATATGAAGAAAATTTTTACTGGATGAGCTGATATTCATTGCACTTAATGCAAAACATATCTCATGTTACAAGGTTTATGTAGAGTGCTTGATAGTTTTCCTGCAACATTGGCTTCACCCAAAAAATTGCAAAAGACTGTGAAAAAATCGTTTTTTTGTACTACTTAAAATAAAAACTTGAATAACTACCTCATTTTTTATCTGATTTTCTTCAAACATGTCACAAAAAATTTGCCATCATGCAAGAAATAAG